CTCTTCGATTTTTAAGAAAGCAATCCTGCTGGGAGTTTGGCTTTTGAAATTCGGAGAATGGTGTCTCTTCGATTTTTGAGAAAGTAATCCTGTTGGGAGTCTGGCTCTCGAGATTCGGAGGGCGGTGCCTCTTTGATTTTGAAGCAAGCAATCTTGTTGGGAGTGTTTTCTCGAATGTGAGTAAAGGTTGGGCATTTTTGCTAGTCTACCTTGCCACAGAGCACAGAGGTTGACACACAGGGACTTTCCAATTATCCAGCAGTGGTGCTATTCCTTTACCCTTGTGGGTAATAATATGGTAGCTAAACCTTCAAAATTTATGTGTCTAAACTTTGTTAGTGCTGTTTCTTTGCTATTCTTTTACCCTTCTTGGTCATAGCGATGTAGTGGGAGTTGCAAGCTTCACGTGTCTAAACTTTGTCAGAGATCTTTGGCAAAGTTATCTGTGGTACCCATGAGCTGATGTTGCGTGTGGAAAGTGGATGATTGAACAGTAAGATTCCCGTGCTTTCTACGTCACCAGAAATCTTCGACAGATTGCTCGTAATTTCCGCAAAGATGAGTGTGCATGTGACAGGTGCTGACAAGGCTGAGAAAGCAGGTGCCTCTTCTCTTCCCTTCTCCGTTGTGGTGTCAAACTGATCAGCTCCAAAGGCAATGTTGCATGGTCTAAGGCCTCCGAATCCAACAACAAGCAATCCGAGACCCGAATACAGGATCGCTATCTGCCAAGTACTCGGCTGTTGGCATTGCGCAGCGCAGGCAAACGGAGTTAATTTATGTATGCATGCAGTTAAGGTCAGGGTCCCCATTCCCTGTCAAATTGAAACAAGATGTGTTCATAGAATGGCTATAAAAATTTACTCAACGATAATTCTTGTGAGCTAATTTACAGATTCTTACCAGAAGTGATGCTATCGAGCTGAAAAGAAGAGTATAAGACTTTCCCAAATAAGTATCAGCAAGAAAAGCACCAAACAATGGTGCAATGTTGCATGAGCCAGACCATATATTAAACACATTAGCTGAAACCACGTTGTCCAAGTGGTACTTTGTGTGCAGATACACCACCAGATTAGCAATCAAACTCATGGAAGCCAACTTCTCAAAAGTCTCGTTCCCTTCGGACAAAAAACAACACAAATCAAAACACATCAGAATTGACCTAATCCACCAAATTGATAAGAAAATTGAGATCATGAACATACCGAGAATGTATCTGACGGCTCTCCATCCTCTAACCGGTCTTTGCGGAGGAAGGAATTGACTCTCTAGCCCTTCAGATGAAGACTCTGCTGCATGCTCCATCGCTTTCCGGTGTCCCGTCCTCCTTCTCCCTTTGTCTTGCTACGTCTCGCTCTCAATGTTTGCTGCATATATTGTGGTGGTCTCTGTAAGTTATGGTTTGTTCGACTAACAACTCACCTCAACACTTGTATGTTGCTACCTGCGAATCCTGCAGGTAATAACTTTTCTATTTATAACTGATTTGTTCATGAAATAAAGGAAAATGCACATACCATGTAAGTGATGACTTGTCTTAACAAATTTCTCCTCCAAGAGTAAACCTGCAACAATAACACTCACACCGTCACACGTAACAAATGAAACCGTACCATGTTACTATTTCCCTCTTGTTTTTCTCTTTTAACTCTAAGCTCAAGTCGTTAACAACTGTTGATGAAGGATGGTGGAGGAGATGTAAAAGAAATGTATACACAAAATAAAAAATATAAACTAAAAACCGAAAAACGAAAAACTAAAAATTATTTTAAATTGTTTTCACTTTTAAGATTTTGTTTACTTTCACTCTCATTTCTTCCCCTCCCTCCCATCACATTTCTTTATCCTTACTTTACCTCATATACTCTTCCATAGCAGAAAAAGTAAAAACAAAAAACAAAATGGTTATCGAATGTCATTAATCTTTTGGACGAAGTGCCACGATGACGTAAACTCATTTCATGTAAGTCTTTCTCCTAAGAGTAGAGTTGTTTATCCCATATTCTTTCATTCTCGACTCATGATTTCTCAAATCCAAGCAAGTAAAACATGTCTAACTTGCACCTGATCTCCTGTCATGTATGATAAATTTGGATGTGGTACCTATGGGTTACGTACCAAATGATAATGTACATTAAATTAGGGAATATGCAAAAATGTGACAAAACTTTGTCACTCAAACTCCAAACATTTTGACAATATGTGACATTCGTCCAATTTTCATCCACACTTTCATTAAGTTTTGGTATTCTACTTTGCACTAATACGTGACCTTAGTGAGCACATTGGCTCTAGCTTATATTGGGAGATCGAAACACCGGAAGCTAAAAGCAAAGAAAGGCAACAACCCTAAAATATTCAAGTTTAACTCACTATTAGTCACCACTGATATTAATTAATGATGAATAATATTACTTAGACACACAAAAGTAACATCATTGATGACACTCTTAATACAAGTGACCGAAAACGATACATAGAACCAATAAAATTAAATTAAAAAATGTGTGTTTGAAAGTGAATTATGTAACAAAATCCAGTAATTGGGCAAAAGACTAAGTGCCATTTCAAAGTAGCTTTTGCATATGTTACAGATTGGCAACCAAAATCGAAAAATACTCTGGATGTTGTAGTATAAATTTAGGGAGGAGGGAGAGACCATACATTGGTCAATTCGTTCCTGGGCCTTGTACACACCGCACATCACACTATGGGAGCTGGCCATGCCCAAAGTCGTCGGATTTCACTAGACTGTTTATGGCTCCATTGTATGTGCTCGGGGTAAAAGTTTTGTATAAATGTATCGCCAAAGAAGAAAAGAGGCTTGAGGAATTCTATTATTGATATTCCTCATCCTTATGTCTTCTGTCTTTATTTATACTAGTAAGAAAGAAATTAACTTTCCCTCCAAGTAACACAAACACTATTAGGAAAGATCTTCTAAATCTCATAGGATTTCAATACATGAAACAAGTATTTTTGCAGAGCAGCCTTATCAGGCAGCAGCATTAACAAAACTAAACGATCATAATTGTTGGATAGTGGCCAAATTAGTGGCCAACTTGGCATTCACTTTCGGCTAGTAAATTAAACAAAGAAAAATTTGGTGGACATCATCATGAGTAAAGACACAATGATTATGTTTGTTGAAAAGAAAAAGGAAGGTCATGATGATGTTTGTAAAGGAATGATTATTCCTTTACTTTGGATTTTTTATTGGTTGCTTTTGAATGGATAAAGGTTGCAGCCGAATGTGGGAGGAAGAGGGGGAGCGGCAGATGAGAGAAACCAGGGAGAGCATTCGGTTCTCCCATTTGAATATGAGCTGCTCCTTCCCACCATTTGTAATAATCCCATTTTGTTAGAAATCACTCAATCAAAGATGTTGCTGCTACATGTTGTGTAGCTTTTGGGAGAGAAGGATTTTGATATGTGTTTCTTCTTCTCCATTTGTTTCTTTGTGAGAGTGAGAGCTATTGGGTGTATGTGGGATTTGGGTTTGAGAGTTAAAACTCTATTTGTAATCTCCATTTTGATATTAGTAGAATTTCCTCGCCGTCTCGGAACTGGACGTAGGCTTACGCCGAATCAGTATAAGTCCTTGTGTCATTTGGATTATTTGTCTTATCATATTTTGCCGTTGTTGCTTATTGGTTTCATATTTGACGCTTCCGCACAACAAGTGGTATCAGAGCTCTGGGTTTCGACTTGGGGTTTTGTATTAGTATGTCTATGAAATCTTCGAATGACAATGAAATATGTTTTTTTGAAAAAATTGGACAGGAGGAATGACTTTGGCATTTGGTCAATTGGAGATGCAGAGTTTGGCTGCAAAATGCGTGGCGTTGAAGAAGGATAGTAAGGGACTATGCTGCAGTCACTGAGCTCGCAGATTGGAGAATGGTTTCGGAAACAGCGTGTCTGCTGCAATGTTATTGTCGACGAGTTGAGTGGGAAGGAGAAAAAAAATAGAAGCTGTTGAAAATTGAAAAGAAAATGTTGGTTCTTTTTCTCTCATCTGCCGCTCCCCCTCTTCCTCCCACATTCGGCTGCAACCTTTATCCATTCAAAAGCAACCAATAAAAAATCCAAAGTAAAGGAATAATCATTCCTTTACAAACATCATCATGACCTTCCTTTTTCTTTTCAACAAACATAATCATTGTGTCTTTACTCATGATGATGTCCACCAAATTTTTCTTTGTTTAATTTACTAGCCGAAAGTGAATGCCAAGTTGGCCACTAATTTGGCCACTATCCAACAATCTCCACCTTGGCCAAATTCCGAAAACATCACAGAGAATCGAATCAACAATCACCATAAGCACCCAAAGTACAAACTAAAGACAATAGGAACTAAATCAAATTCCCTAAACTTTCGGTACTCATAATGATCTCCACCTCGACTCAAATTGTGGCCAAGTGGCCAAGTGGACAACAAAACAAAATAACTTTCGGCTAATAAACAAACCAAAATAAAAAAAGGTGAAAGACATTATGATGAGGAGGCATCATGATTATGTTTGTTGAAAAGAAAAATTGATGGTCATGATGATGTTTTTGAATTTTTTATTAGGTGCTTTTGTATTGATGAAGTGAGGATACGGAAGTGAGAATGATAGAGGAAGTGTGCACCATTTTTCTGTTTGAGTAGTCCATCTTTGAGAGAGCAAAGAGAGCTGCAGAAAGCAAAAAACTGAGAGCAGAAAAGAAGAAGAAGGTGCTCTTCTTTTTTGTTAGCAATCATCCATCATAGTTATTGTTATAATAGCTTTGAGCTACATGTATAGAGAAGAAATTATTCATTATATTTCTTTCTCTATTTGTTTCTTTGGTGTGTGAGAGCTATTGGGTGTATTGGGCTTTTGGGTTGTGAGATTGCCAACACTTTGTAAACTCCCATTTGGTTGATAGTGGATTATTGGGTGAGCTCCTACTGCTCCGAGGACGTACTCCAGTTACACTGATTGTGGAGGAACCTCGTTAAAATCTTGGTGTCTTTAATATTTTGTTCTTGCATTTCATTTGATATATTTTCTGTGGGTTACAAAGAGTTGGTTCTAAAAGGTTTGGTGCTATCCTAGCACAACAATAATATAGTTGTTTAACTGTGTCATAGGGTTGTCGTGATTCAGCGAAAGAAAGAGCATAATCCCCATTAACAATGCATCAGTATAAAGCTATAAGAACTAAGGTCAGATCAGTGACTCAGAACACTTCAGTTGGTCCAGCCTCCTCTCTCTTTTCCACTGTAGGTGATGTGAAGGAATCCGTCTTCATCCTTGTTTTTCTTATCGACTGCAGCCATCGAGGTCTCTGTAACATTGGAAGAGTTGGAAGTTAATTTGGAAACAAGATGGCGGACATTGTTATGCCGACGGCCTACAACATACAAGAGTTGCAGCTCTGCTCACCAATGGGAGGTTCAGTGTTCTTAAATTTGACAAACATAGGCTTTTTCCATGCATATCCATGCTTCCCGATCATAAACTGAATATAATTAACACTGTTCTAAAAATCCCCACTTAGGCGTTTGAAAATTTAGAAAGGGTGCCTAGACCATCGGAGGTGCCCGCCTAGACCGCCTAAGCACCCGTCCAAACACGCCTAGACACCCGCTTAGGTTGTGTCTTACTTAGACAGAAAATAGATAACTATCATTTTGCATTTTTTTTAAGAAATCGTAAGAAACTTGTTGAATACTAAAATGAACACAAATGATATGCTTGTTCCCTATGTTTTCATTATGTTTCAATATTTCATAACATATATGTCATTCTATTTTGTAATTTATGATATAATTATATATATTTTAAGTATAAACGGACACTTATTTACACGAAATATAACAGATTTACTTAAATCCGCCTAGGCCTCGCCTAGCCGTCTAGGCACTAGGCCCCAACCCACCGTCCGACTAACGTCTAGCGTCTTTAAAACCTTTATAATTAACAAACTCTCCCAGAGGTATATCACCAAGGACATGGTATCTGCAGTCACAAAAATACAGGATAAGCGATAAAGCTACATAACAACCCAGCCAACCCCTCCTCGCGCCTTCAATTTAAGACAAGCTATATATCTACCAAAAGCATACATGAAAGGAAATACAAATCAACATAATTAAAGAAATGTTTGGTGGGAACAAGAAACTAACTTCTTTGGGCCAATGTCACGAATGCCACTGCTCGGATCCTTCTCCACCCAAACCTGCATCCAATTAGAACTTGGTATGAGTATTGCCTCCGTTGAATGCATACGAGTAAAGAAATAGTATGTATGATGCAGTAAAATTCCTTACTGGTACGCGATCTGGTTTCTTCTGCCTCAATTTCCATGCATCTATACTCCATGGTTCGTACATGTCCAACAACCTTCTCCTGATGGGACATCAAAGGCACAGGTGGAAAAATACAATCCTATTCAGTTGTAGCAATTCAACTGAACATAATTAAAGAACAAGGGAATACGCAACTACCTCATGTCAGGATCCCAAGCAAGTTGCTCTCCAGCATGCTTAAAATGCAAAGCCTTCTCCGCAACAACATGCATAGAGGCTCGAATTAGAACAGTATCCACTGAACGCGTAGAGGATGTAACCATACTTGATTCAACTACATTGTTACCTTAGCCAACTCGAAACCTTTATCATTCCACGGGTCTAACACTTTAATGGGAGTGCGAACTAACTTCCTCGTCTTGACATTCTCGTTAATAATCTGCATAAAGTCTCAAATAACATCAGAGTATGTCCACTGGAATGACTAGGAAGTAAACATATCTAACTCACCGAAGTTCTTACTGGTAACATTTCAACTGATCCAAGGGCTCTATCTCCACTGTAGATCATGCGAAGAAATCCGTCTTCATCCTTATTTCCCTCATCAATTGCAGACATCAAGGCCCCTGCAACAGTGAAAGAATTATAGTTATTACAACCACACCTAATTTGTAGGGGGAAGGGAACAAGATGAATATCATACTGGGTAAAACAAGGAATTGAAGCTCTACTCACCTGTGGGAGGCTCAGTGTTTTTAAAACGAACAAACATAGGCTCATACATATCAAAGTTCCCGATGCTAGTCTGAATATAATAAACGAATTCTCTGAGAGGCATATCACGATGGACTTGGTATCTGCAGTCAGAAACAAGGGAGAAGCACAAAAACCACGTGAGAATGAACCCTCTCACTCAAGGCAAGCTATGGACACAAATGAGCTTGGAGTTTGCCCTTTGTAGTAACAAGTGTGTTTTCCTTTCTGGAAGAAAATTATATATGATGATGTGGAGTATGAAAATCACATGGCCAATTTTAACACCCAACCCCAACCCACTTAACCCAAAAATAAACTCGGTTATGGAAGCAACCAATTTGTGAAAACCATGATATAATCCAGGACCATGTGGTATACCAAAAGCACAAATGAAAAGGGGGAAATTCCTATTCCAATTCCATTGCAGCAATATGGATCAAGATAATCAAAGAAACAAAAAAAAAGGGAGGGGAAACTAACTTCTTCGTTTCAATATCAGGAATGTCACTCCTTGCATCCTTCTCCACACTCACCTGCACGGAGGTCCAAATTAAAAACATGGGGTATTATGTACTAACTGAATGTGCATAGGAGGAGACAAACAAATAACAAATTTGATGAAGTGATATTCCCTACTGGTACATAATCTGGATGTTCCTCCCTCTGTTTCCAAGCAAAGGGTGGTTTGAACTTATTCGCTTCACTCCTGATCACATATCAGAAGCAAGAAGGAATTAAAATGAACAGTTGTTGTAATCCACATAAGCAAATAGAAACCAAGTGAAGCACAAGGGAACCGGAAACTCACGCTGTGAGATTACTGTTTAAGTTGCTAGACAGAAGCTTTTCCATCTGTGTAAAGTGGCATGTATATATTTTTAGAAGAGAGTGGATTCACAAAAATGCGTAGGATGTAAACAAGACTGATTCAGCTAAACTGTATCTTACCGCCATCCTGTATTGTACATGATTCCAAGGGTCTAACACACGAACGCCGTGTGAAAAAACATAATGTCCAAATCTATTCCAACGGCTTTTGTGGGAAAGTCTGAACATAAACCGAAAGCATGAATGGAAAAGGGGGCAAAAATCTGGTTCCGTGGTAGCAATTTATGGAAATCAAGACGATAATAATAATAATACAATACAAGCACAGACACAGAGAAGACAACATCCTACCTCTCGCAAATGCTGGCGTGAGTTGCACTTGCAATATCACCCTTCACGGGATGCACTGAAACTCAAATTTACAAGGAACGGTTAAGGGACTAGAGAGACCATCTAACAATACAAAAACCGAAGCGAGAGAGCGCAGAGGCAAGACTAGTTAGAAAAAAAAACTGGATTTTGTTTTTATGGATGAAAAAACAAGAGAAAAATTACACAGTTGCATGATTCTACTCTAGCAATTCCAATCCCTATATATATAACGAACTAAAAAAATAAAAACACAACAACGAAGAAGAAGAAAGAAACAAACCCTTTGCTGAATTGGAAGAGATTTCTGCCATGGCAAAACTCGCACCACCACCAATGACTCCTCTTCTTGTCTGTAAATTTTCAAACAATGAAGCATCACAACAAAGAAAAACGTTCTGCGCTGAAGAATTCCGTGAAAAATAAACACATCAAAGTAGAGCATTTCTTTCATTCTCTGATACACTTATACACGCAAGTCCTCCCTCGGTCCAACAATGTTAAGAAGAGATGGACACATAAAAGAAGCGAATAAATCGCCTCAAGTATATATTGACATGAAAAACGCTCACCAAAGTCGAAAAGGGATCGATTTCTTACACATAAAAGAAGCAAATAAATCGCCTCAAGTGTATATATTAACGACAAAAAACAATGAAAAAAGAACTAATTTTTTTAAACACATTATCAAATTAATAGTAATGAAAATGTAAGAAGCACGGTGCAGCCTATTATTAGTATTACTCATTTTGGCACTAGAAGAAGCACTTTCCGATGCTTGTATTAGTTTTATTTATGTTGTTCGTTGGAGTTATAGGATGAAATTTAATTATTTGTTACTTTGTATGATCATACAAATTATATGCTTTCCAACTATTAGTAATCTAAATGTTGTTACTTTAGCAGCTTTAAAGTTGAAATGGTCCCTTGAGTAGTGTCTAGATAGAAGATAAACATTGACAGTTCCATGCATCATCATCAATGGAAGCAAAGCCGAATGAAGTTCAAAGAGTTACAAAAGAAACCTATATATCTTTGTTTTAGACAAATAGGATTGTGCTAGAGACGTAATATTTTGACCGATGCAAACTGAATACGTGAACAAGACAAAATAGAGACTAATGTTCATGGTCTACCACCGAGCTAATATTCTGCACAAACGACGACCTCGTACCAATCATCTTGTGTCGACGTCCGATGGTTGAAATCATTCCTATCCAAATTCTCCAAAGCCCCACCATCCGGATTGGCAACCTGAAACGTGTAAACTATTGTTCCCACATCTAGTTGGCCAAACCAAAACCTATAGCTATCAGTTGGCTTCATGTAGCTCACTCTCAGTAGATCCAAGTTCTTTAGGAGCTCCCGTTTACTGTAACGCACACAACATCATCCCCTGCAACGGCAGCTCCATAATCAAACTCCACATCATCTTCCAAAGTCACTTGCACTTGTACCAAATTTCGTCGCACAATGTTCCAGCCCGCGTTCTGCTCGTCAAATGTTGTCCCATCCAAATTCCAACATGTGGTCACACCACTCAACTCTTCGAAGGGCTTGAATGCTCGCGAACAGATTGCCAACATTACGGCACTCATTCATCAAAACTGTCCCAACAAACAACTCCAACTTATATACTACTATGCTCGACCTTTGTTGGGGCCACCATGGAGACCAGCCCATGCAGGAGCTCCTTGGCCTCTTCCCCGGCCTTTTCCTTGGTCTCCTCCTTGGGCGTCTTCTCGCGATCGTTTTCTTCCTTGGCCCCCTCGGTTCCCTCGAGCACCTGCTGCTACTTGGCGTAGGCCACCCTATCCCCACGTCTGACCATGAGAGCCGAAAGCACAATGGAATGACAAGGCATTTGCTGTGTCGAGCAAAATATTCCTCTTGTCCCCACGTCGACGCATATGCTTTGTCATTCCATTGTGCTTCCGGCTCTGATGGTCAGACGCAGGGACAGGGTGGCCGGCGCCAAGTAGCAGTAGGTGCCCTAGGGAACCGAGGGGGCCAAGGAAGAAAATGATAGCGAGAAGACGCCCAAGGAGGAGACCGAGGACAAGGCCAGGGAAGAGGCCAAAGAGCTCCTGCATGGGCTGGTCTCCATGGTGGCCCCATCAAAGGTCGGGGCATAGTAGTATCTAAGTTAGGGTTGTCTCTTGGGACAGTTTGGATGAATGACTGCCGTAATGTTGGCAATCTGCTCGCGAGTATTCAAGCCCTTCGGAGAGTTAAGTGGTGCGACCACATGGACTTCCACATGTTGGATAGGACAACATTTGACGAGCAGTGAGTGGTGAACACGGGTTGGAACATTGTGCGACGAAATTTGGTACGAGTGCAAGTGACTTCGGAAGCTGATGTGGAGTTTGATTATGGAGCTGCCACTGCAGGGGATGATGTTGTGCGTTACAGTAAAACAGGAGCTCCTAAAGAACATGGAGGTCTTGAATGCTTATCTACTGAGAGTGAGCTACATGAAGCCAACTCATAGCCATAGGTTTTGGTTTGGCCAACTAGACGCGGGAACAATAGTTTACACGTTTCAAGTTGCCGATCCGGATGGTGGGGCTTTGGAGAATTTGGATCGGAATGATTTCAACCATCGAACGTCGACACAAGATGACTGGTATAAGGTCATCGGACATCGTTTACACAAAATATTAGCTCGGTGGTAGACCATGAACATATGTTGTAGTCTCTGTTTTGTTTTGTCCTGTCCACACATTGGATATTCAGTCTGCAGTTTGCATCGGTCAAAATATTACATCTCTAGCACAATCCTAGTTGTCTAAAACAAAGATATATAAGTTTCTTTTGTAACTCTTTGAACTTCATTCGGCTTTTGTTCCATTGATGATGATGCATGGAGCTGTCAATGTTTATCTTCTATCTAGACACTACTCGAGGGAAAATGGACCATTTCAACCTTAAAGCTGCTAAAGTAGCATCATTTAGCTTTGTTTATACCATATATTGGGCCTCCGTATTTGGGCATTGTATAAATACTCGGGGAACTTAAAAGGGCAATTATGTAATAAAGGAGGGATCCCTTATTCTATAAAAGGGACTTCCTCCCCTTCATTTGAGGAGAGCCTGAGAGGATCCGAGAGAGAAGCCAACATGAGGCAAATTAGAGGCTCTCACTCCTAACTTTCACAGGAAGAGCCCGACTCTCCCTCAAACCAAACTCTCTCTTCTCAAGAGTCTCACATCCAGAGACACAACACCATTCTTATACAATTCTCCTCACAACAATAGAGGGCAATACCCTCTCAGCCAAACAGAGAGCAAAAGGGCAAGGGTTGCATCCACAGAGAGCTCCCTTGCCGATCTATTGTAATCCATACATTCATACAGTGAAATGGAATCAACATCAGTGCGGACGTAGCTCAAACATTGAGGTGAACCACGATACATCTTTGTGTTCTTGTGCGTTTGTGTGATTCACGATTGGATTTACGTTAGTCCAAGATCCACCAGATTTTGTGCATCAACAAGATTGCTAATAGTTTTTACTAATAGTTGGAAAGCATATAATTTGTATGATCATACAAAGTAACAAATAATTAAATTTCATCCTATCACTCCAACGAACAACATAAATAAAACTAATATTAGCATCGGAATGAGAAAGTGCTTCTTTAGTGCCAAAACGAGTAATACTAATAAAAGGCTGCACCGTGCTTCTTACATTTTCATTACTATTTTCATTACTATTAATTCGATATGTGTTTAAAAAAAAATAAGTTTTTTCATTGTTTTTTGTCGTTAATAAATATAATAAACGCAATTTTTTTTTAATAATTTCGGGTCCTTCTTTATCTTTACCCCATAGAGACATTGGATAGACACAAACTACTTTTTTTTTTTTTTTTTTTTGCCACTGTAAGTTTGAAAATAAACGTTTTTTAAATGTCGTTCGAAAGCAAGGTAAACACGCTTAAGGTTAAATTAATCAAAAGATGATTAAGAATTACAAATAATTAAATACAAACAGATAGTGGAGTGTTGTCAATGAAAATGAGAGTTAAAATCTACCTATTTATTCGCACTCCTCACTTGCCCGTCCATTATTTCATTGATCATTTCTTCAATTACCAAAACCCTAAAGCGTAAGAAATCGATCCCTTTTCGACTTTGGTGAGCGTTTTTCCTATCAATATATACTTGAGGCGATTTATTCACTTCTTTTATGTGTCCATCTCTTCTTAACATTGTTGGACCGAGGGAGGACTTGCGTGTACAAGTGTATCAGAGAATGAGAGAAAGGCTCTACTTTGAAGAATTTCATTTCATTTCTTATTTATTCGTCAATCCATCTAAGGACAAAAGAAAAATTAAATACAAATAAATTAGGATTTGACATAAATACCCATGATTTCGTAAATACTTTTTTAGATAATTTAGCCGAAAGTCAACAAAAAATTTACTATAGCTATATATCAATGACTTATTTTTATTTTTGGTCTTAATCAATAATATATTTTTATTAATTAGGCATAGGTGAATGATGTATGTCACATAGGCTTTAGGTCATTATAAATAGTTAGAATTTGACTTTTCTATCCTTCACTCTTTCTCTCCCTATAAATGTCATGAGCTTTAAACTATTATAAATAGGGATATAGATCCTATCCGGATTAATTTTGTGGGGATCCTCTGGACGGATGGATCTCAAAAATTGATACTAATCCAACAGCCAAAATCTCTTCTCTTTCTTCTCTTCCCCTCAACTCTTCTCTTTCTCACTCACTTCAAAGCTCTCAACCTCAAACCACCCCCCCCCCGGCCCCCAAAAAAGAATTCTAGATCAAATTCAACCCCTCAAAATCAGCCCAGCATCGCTACAACCCACCCGACCCACAACCCCCAATTGCAGGCCCAAAATCAACCGCAAGACCGCCACATCCCTCAATTGCAGGTCCCTTGACCTTAAAATCTCAGCCGATCTTAACGAAACAACAAAAAGAGGGGTTGTGCAAACCGGTGTCTTTTGGTTGCAGAGATCCTTTTCATAACAATTGAAGAACTATACATAATAAAGTTATAGTAGACAGAGAAACCTGAAAGATGATGAAGAAGAAGAAAGAGTGGGAGGGGAAGAGGTTCTGTCCGTTGGATTTCTATCCCTATGGAACTAATCTGGAGAGGATTTGAATCATGTAAACAGTTAGAACATGTAAATTCTATTCTACACTCTCGCCTTTTGTTTACATGGAGGATTTTGCTCAACTTAAAAAAAATGTAAAACCAGGAGTCGCACGAGGTGTGAAGCGTAGGAACATGTGAGTTATGAAACAAAAACAGAATTGGGACGCAGGGCCTGAATCCAAGTGTAAAAAGGAAACCCAAATGTAAAAAGGAATGTGTTGGAGGCATGTGAGTGATGGAGAAGACGAAACTAGTAAATAGACACTGCAACTCATTTGCAAATGTAGTTTTATCTCCACTGAGTTTCTACATGCATGGGAACATATGTTTTTCTTACTAATTTGATTAGATTATAAACTGTTTCAACTAATTCCGGGAATATCATATCTGTAATATCAAACTATAACAGTTGGATTTTACTGGTAAGTAAAACAGTTGTATAATGAACAAACAATGAAAGAAGAAAGCCAAATAATGACAATGAAAAGAAGAGAATTCAAACATATTGAGAATGTTAGTTTCAGATTTATTCCATTACCTTCTACCCTCCATCTCCCTTTGAGCAACATACAATAGTCATTAAATTTCATCTTATGGCGTGTGTGCTGTGAGCTTGGGGAAGCCATGTGACCCTAATTTCTTTTCTTTTCTTTCTTTTTTTTTTTGAAAAAAAATTTACAAATGGTACAGTTTCAACTGTACACGTTTAACCTCGGTGTTTTTCAATTTCAGTTTTACTTCTACCATCCATTAATTTTCCTATCCAAAATGCTTTGAAAAATAAATCTATAGCTGCTAACGGTCTATATTCTTGATGTTGTCAGACCCTGCAATCGAAAAATTCATGTAAATGCAGAGGTTTGGCTGAAGGAGAGGGCATCGACGAAATCCAAAAATCCTTCCATGGCAAACTTAGTTGTACACCCATGGCGTATGTGCTGTATGCTAGATGCCCTCTCTCTTTTAACAACACACAATAGTTTATGCAAATGCAAAAGATTTAAACATGTTTCCTTTAAAATAAATTTACATTTTGTAGCAAATGCATATGGCAAAATAGTCCATAAGTAATCATACTGGCAACCAAACACAACAGTTCAAAAACTTCAATGGAAATATAAATTGCACAAAAAAAATCTTGAATTTCCAAACCCACAAAATAAAAAATTCAACCATATTATATGTAAGAAGAAATACCAAGAACTGAGAGCTGCAGGCTACCAAAATGCTCATGATCTTGGTTGTGCTGATAAACTATAAAACTTGAAATCGAAATTACAAAGGTAGAAGTTGAGATTCCAATATGAGACAGAACAATCCAAATCAAGCTTACTGAGAGCAAGAGACCGTGAAAGGGCTGAGAGATCGAGAGAGAGGCAGCTGCTAACTTTACCAAAAAAATTGAAAATGGTGGAATTTTTCATATGAAGATAAGGCGCCTAATAATATGAAATCAGGGCACGAAAATAAAATTAAAATTTTGGGGCAGGTAAAAAACTAATCATTGATTAATTAAGACAAATGACTGAAATTGTCAACCTTTCAAATTACGTATCCTTAGTAAAAAAAGCGCACACACCTTAAAAGGCTCATTACCTGTTCTGAAACTAATAACTGGAACAAACTTCAGCCAAACTAGAAACCCCCTAAAGAAAATAGAAACATTCAAAAATAAATTCATTGACGAAACAAAAAACTGCCGAGGAAAACGATCATTCCCAAAATTCCATTCTGAACAAATATATCGACCAATCTTAAGATGAATATAGAGCCCTGCCTTGTAAACCATCTTTGAACCAACCAATTACACAAATCTAAATAAGAGATGGCAGAAAAGGAATATGAAAAAGAAAATGTGTGTATGAGTTATGCATCTTGCTTGAATGCTATCTATCAATGGTAATTCCCAAATCCAAACAAACATCAAATCAAAAACCCAAAGCCAAACAGGGCAACTACATATGTATTAAATTCACATACAATTAGAAAGATCAAACTCAAACACTCAAGCACTCAAGCAATTTAGATAATGCTTGACAGATGAAATTCAAACACTAAAATCACTCTGCAACTGATTCACATGAGCTATAGCATGCCAAATACCCTTGTCATTACCAACTCCCATTCTCTTTGGGAGGGTTAAATAACAGAGAAAAACACATTATTAGTCATCTTTTACGGGCAAGAAGACTGAAAATAATTTATACTTCTATATTAACCCAACTTATGATTTTTGCATATACATTGGTGCATCCATTCTTTGCATATGCATTACTACTGATTACTCAATTTTACGGGCAGGAAGACAGAATAAAAACTAAGAAATGTAAGGAAAAAGAAAATACAGAGAGAGAGAGAGAAGAACCTGCAATTAGGTTTTCTCAAAAGCATAATTAGTACCACCACCCGAGTTCCTTTACAACAAAAATTAACCAAAACTAAAAAAGATAAAAAAAATTAACAGAAAATTCCCACTTCAAAAGATATCAAAAAACCGGCCCCTCCTCTGAAGACGAAAGATGCAAACGAAATATAACAATATAAACATAAATTAAATATAACTCAAAAATACAAATAAAACCAACAATAATCAGCAAACAAAAACCCTAAACATTCAGATTTTTCAGATGAAACCCAATTTCCACACAAGAAATTCAAAATCCCATCAGAGAAAATCAAATGCTAAATCCAAAACCTGCATTCTCATCAGAAAAAAAGGTAAAAAAATCTCTACAAAGAAAAACCCAGAAAAGTAAAAAGAACTTGAATACCTAACAATGCATGGAGCCGATGAGTTGGAGGCTTTGGCGGTCAATGTCGCGCAAGTTGTTCTTGGCTGCTATGAACTGACTCCGAGGGGATTTGTCGGGTTTTTTGGCGGCGGTCCACCACGAGCCCTCGTACTCGGCCACCTTCGTTTGCAGACGAGAGAGAAAGCTCTCCACATTTTGTGAACTCGAGGCCTAAATTGGAGGCCATGGTTGAGAGAAATTGGATGAGGGACGGCTAGGGTTGAGAGAAATTGAGCGGCTAGGGTTTTTTTTTTTTTTAGAGAAGATGAAATAAATGAGAGATGATGGAGAAGAATGGGGGTGAGCGGCGCTGGGGCTAGAGGTTGAGAGAAATGAAGAGAGAGAAGTCTCTCGAATTTGAGAGAAATGAGAGAGAACCGACCGCATCTGTGTGAAGGGGAAGGATTTGCAAACCCCTGAAATTCCTCTCTCTGCAACGGACACCCTACCTAAAATTAATCAGAAAGGCCTAATCATGCAATAGTAATATGCAGAGAAACGCACAAATCGGTTTACAATCAAACACTGACCTTCACAAATACTAATTCAAAAACCCTAAATCCCTAAACCAGGAATAATAAACAAAACCCCCTAATTCAGAAATTACCTAATCTTTTGCAGGATGATGGTATGGTAGTGATTTCGACGGCGGTGATGGGGTGGTGGTGGTGGTCGCGACGGCGGTGATGGGGTGACGATGGTGAATCGTGATGGTCTGAGCTGCATAATAGCGAGCAAGTGACGAAGATATCAGAACACGAACACCCAAGCCTGTTTTCGACGGTGGTTGCGAATTTAATTTGAATTTCCATAAACCCACCACTGTAAAAACCCCAAAATCCCAAGATTTATACCCAAAAAAAATAAAATTTGAAAACCAAAGATCAAGGCTAATAATCCAAGAATTGATTTTTTTTTTAAATAGTTTAAACACCTAATTTTTGTTCATGTGATAATTCGTAGATTAAATTAACAGCTCATCATTTTTTTAATTTGTTTTAATGGTTGTCAAGTTTCTTACTCTTCTTAATGAAAGAGAGAGAATTAAAAAACAATAATTTAATCATGGTTATGTGGGTGAACAGATGTCAAGCTTTGAATTAGGTGATGAGCATACCTTATAGTAAAGGATGGTGAGTAAAAATGCATTCGTCGATAAACGTATTCATTCTTATTAGTGACATATTTTTTAGTTAACAAATTTTATCTATAAAACTTAGCATTCCTACCATTACCCTTTAAATTTAAAGTGAAACTCCGCTTAGTACTACGGTCTAGTGTTATTATTCTTCAATTGTGAATGAGAGGTTTTAAGTTCGATTCTTTCCAAATGCGAATTTAAACCACATTATTGCTAGTCCATTATGAAGCTAAGCACACCCCTCCTCCTCAAGTAGATAACATCGTTTGTTCAAAAAAAAAAAAAAAAAAAAAAAAAAAAAAAAACTACCCCTGTTGCATATGATTCAACATAAAAATATCCATGATTCATAACTAAAATAAAAAAAATTAAGAAAATTAAAAGAAAATAAAAAGAAACTGGCTTTCCTGCATATGATTCGACATAAATATCCATGATTCGTAACTGATTTTTTTATTGTTGTGATGCTTCGTTATTTGAAAATTTACAACAAGAAGAGGAGTCGTCAGTCGTGATGCGAGTTTTGCCATGACAGAAATTTCTTTCAATTCAATGAAGGGTTTGTTTCTTTCTTCTTCGTCGTTGTGTTTTAATTTTTTTGTGGTTAATTTAATTTTTGAGCAATGAGTTTTGGCCCTTAATTTCCTTTAATTATATAGGGATTGGATGGATTTGAAATTGCTAGAGTAGAATCATGCAACTACGTAATTGTTCTCTTGTTTTTTTCATCCATAAAAACAGAAGCCAGTTACTTTCTTACTACTCTTGCCTATGCGCTCTCTAGGTTCGGTTTTCGTATTGTTAGATGTTCTCTCTAGTTCCTTAACCATTCCTTGTAAATTTCAGAGCATCCCATGCACGGTGATATTGCAAATGCAACTCACGGCAGCATTTACGAGAGGTAGGAAGTTGGTTTCCAACACCCCTCTATGTGCTTGTATTTTTATCGTCTTGGTTTCCATAAATTGCTACGACGGAACCAGATTTTTTGTCCCCTTTTCCATTCATGCTATCCGTTTATGTTCAGACTTTCGCACAAAAGCCATTGGAATAGATTTGGACATTATGTGTTTTCACAGGGCGTTCGCGTGTTGGACTCTTGGAATCGTGTTTTCTTCTTCTTCTTCTTCCCAGATTCGGTTTTTTTTATTTTCTTCCTCTTCTTCTTCCTCCTCCTTCTTCTTCTTCTGGGTTGGGGGCGGGGGAGAAGTGGGTTTTTTATTATTTTTAAAATATTTTAATATTTTTTAATGATACGTGGCGCTCAGTCATTGTCCACGTGGGCGCCACGTCACAGTTAACGGGAGAATTAACAGTTTAACTAATGGATGTATGAGACTGTTCCAAAATTAACACTTTAAGTATGACTCTGGGACGAAAAAAAACTTGATGCACTAAATGTTGAAAACCACGAAACATGAAAATAGTGAATAGTCTTTTACCCAAAAAACAATGTGTGTGTGAGTTATGCATCTTGCTTGAATGCTATCTATCAATGGTAATTCCCAAATCCAAACAAACACCAAATAAAAACCCCAAAGCCAAACATGGCAATTACCAAAATCCTATCTTTAATACATTCCCAATTGAATATTGACTCCATTCAAGTAAATAATCCATATTTAAATCAATTAAGGATAATTACTCTATTATCTCAAGGTATTATTTTCTATTTATTATCTTGAGAATATTTCTCCATAAAACCTTGGCCAATAGGATGCCACCATATGTAGGGCAAAATCTTAACACCATGGCTGGTCACTCCCCTATATATACCCTATATTCTACCAAATTTCGGTAAGCTTTTACAACCCTAAAAAGCCTTAAACACTTTATTCTTTTCGGAGAAACTAACTTAGGCATCGAAGATCCATTGGTCTAACCCCCCCCCCCATCCTTGTGGGCGCATGAGGCTTAGGTCCTTCATCAAGGGTGTTGATTGTTTTGTAGGTGCATTTTCGTCCAAGATAGAGACGGCAGAAATTTTCATCGACAAATTGATGCTTTCATTGAGAGATGATTCAAATACTTGAAGAAGCCTCTTGGATTTGGTTTCTTGAATTTTCTGTTATGTTGAATTTCCCACACATCATGTCAATTAATTTTTCCTAGAAAAGTTTCTTGATCAATCCTTGGAGAAAGGATACAATGGTAGGAAATTCGGAAACCACAATGAACAGAACTCCATACGTACAAGGATTTAGACCAGAGAGTAGAGACGAGGACATAGGCCCACAATGGCGATCCTCACTGCACAACGCAACCACGGGAGAAGCCCCACCACTTCGGGGCCGCACCATCACTGCCATCGCAACCCAGTAGCCATGGCCTAATGAACATCACCGCATCCCTTGCAGCGCCATAATCCACAAAACCCTGCAGCAGGAAGCCTAGGTCCATTCCATGGCCCATAGGCAGGCGACCCAAGCCCTCCAAGCTACCAGCTGAGCCAAGGATACCCAACTGGAGCCCAGCTAGCAGCCCAAACGGCCACGACCCATTTGGCTACCAACCAGGCCCAAGCTTGCCAGAAGCATGTCGTGGCCCAACGCGCAGTGCAGGCCTAGTGTTAGCCAGCCCACACGTGACCCCAACGCGTCCTCGCAAACGCCCCAACCACCCAGGCAAGTTGACCCGCTTCGTGACCTGTTCCGAGGACCCAGCCCGCGGCCCATCTTCTTCATTTTAACGACAGTGCTGCAACTCAAAATTCCAGACTCTGGTGAATAAAACCATGGAGTCTATACCTACTAGGATACTAATTATTATTTTGCACAATAATTTATCCTATACAGTTCTTCATATAGCTCCATCTATGGTTTTCGATGGTCCTCCGAAGTACTTCACGAACGTTTCTTCCGATCTTCGGCTCCGGTCTCTATATAGTTCCGCATCTGGTCCTGCAATCTACCCAAGAAAGAATTTGTACGAGAATCAGAGTGGGCTACGGTTTTTACGGTCCTTATCCGACATGGTGTTGGTTGACTTGTTATCCCCTTATGAATTACGTTTTCACCTATTCTAAGGATTGAAGCATCTGGTCCTGCAATCTACCCAAGAAAGAATTTGTACGAGAATCAGAGTGGGCTACGGTTTTTACGGTCCTTATCCGACATGGTGTTGGTTGACTTGTTATCCCCTTATGAATTACGTTTTCACCTATTCTAAGGATTGAATAAGCGCATTGGACCATGAAAATACTTAAGATGTTTGGTTGGGTGGAGTAAACAGCTTAGCAACCAAGGAGTCTGGTTGGGTGGAGTAAAAAAAAGTGTCGCGCACAAAACAACTAAAAAGTTGACTATCCCCAATGAAATACAAATAGATTTAGCCACACCAATTGGAATTATCTTCAAGTAAATCATTCCTTATTTCCCATATACTCCATAATATTGAAGGGAATATTACACAAGATAAATGGTAACAAGAATATAAAACAGTTCAAAGTTAGTTAGGAAGGTTATTTTAGTAATTCTGTTTTAACCTTTCCTTTATTGTATTTTGGCTTCCTTGTATTGTAAGTATAAATACTTGTTGTAACTTATCATTATTCAATGAAATGAAATCATTTCTCAATAAATATAACCAAACCATTTCGAAAGTTTGTTTTGAGGATGTATGTGCTAACTGAGAAACCCAATCCTGCAAACTCAATCTGCATAATTATTGACACGCAACCCCAGGCTTGAAAACCATATTGCCGCATCCATAGAGCAGTCCACCCCCAATTATTTTCCCCAAAAGTTTTTTGAAAGTTACTTTTTGGTCTCTTATCCTAATCTAATCCGGACCCTTTATCTCGATTTCTCTTCTCCCCCACGTTGCCACGTGGCAAACACCCAACTCCCTTTCTCTTTCTCTTTTCTCGATCTCCCTGTCTCTGTCACTCTCGTTGTCTTTATGTCACTCTCTGTCTTACCCTCCTTTAACTCTCTCATTCGGACTCTCCTCTTCCCATCGACCACACACACCCAAACCACCCTGATGACGACGCTGCACCACCGCGACCCACAAGGATCTCCCATCCCTCGCTCTATATCTCTTTCTTTCTTTCTTTTCCCACGGCAAGCACCGAGAGGGTGCAATGACGAACTCCGTCGAACTTCACCATTTCCGAGTATGTGAGCCTCAAAATCGTTTTACCCTGTCAAAATTTGGATGTTGGTACGAATTTCTAAGTATGTATACCTGTTTTGGTGAAGGTTGGACTTGAAATCAGTTCGGGTGTGTTAAACCCAGATTCCGGCGAGTACATGTGGCTTCCAGGCCATTTTCCGGCCACCTCCGACCCTTTTCACGGTGAATCATAGATATAAAATCACTCATCTCACTTTCTTCTTCATGTTGATACCTAGATTGGAGCCTAGGATCCTTGTTTGCCATCGCCCGGAGCTGGGAAAGCTCCAGCGTGCACCCTCGTCAAGACAAGGCCTTTCAGGCCATGTTGAAGAACACAGGCCTTACGAGCCGTTCCAAACCCTCAGGCTTTAGGCCCGTTAAGGACCCAACCCAAATCTCTTTCCTTTTATTTTGTTAAATTAAAGGGCATTGGGCCATTTTAATGAGGGTCTTCGGCCAGTTCCTTCTCCAACTCAAAACCCTTAGGCTTAAGGCCTCCGGGCCTTTTGAACCAGGGCCCTAAACCCTAAATCCATTTAACCCTAACTGGCCCAACCCATTTCCCTTTTAAACCCAAGCCCAACTCGGTCCGGCCCAAAGCCATTTGACCCAGGCCCGCGGTCAACATTAACTGTTGACTTTGACTGGTCAACA